TTCCAACCCACCCTCCCAGTATCGCACTCACACCATTGGTCCTGAAGGGATCATCTGTCCTGGATTCCCTGTGTTTCCAGTTCCTATCTGTACCAGTGTCCACCCTCTGGTCTAGGCAGACTTGTGGGGTAGAGTTGAGATTATGATGGTGGGGGGTGGGGGATTGAGGAAGCTTTTAGGAACTGGAGGAAAGTTGTCTCTTTCATCGTCTTGGCATTAGATCCTTATCATTTAGGGTTTACAGGTTATTATCATTATTATAAGTAACCCTATGGTTAGTCAAATTATAGACAGAAAGGTAGGTAAAAAGAGAGAAGATAGACAATTTTCAGATATACATATTTTTGAAGGCTATATTACTTCCATTTTCATTTTTTTAGTTATTATCAAGCAAGTTAGTGTTTTGTTTTATCGCTTTGTTGTTGTTTGATTTTGCTTTTTTAAGACAATTCTTGAATGGTTTCACTGGCATATCACTTGGGCAATTACAAACACCTCACATCTCCCTTGCCTTTTCTGAGGCTACATATGTGCAAACTAGATAATATTTTTAGTAAACGAGCTTAAATAATAAACCATTAGTCAGGGGAAAGAGACTTGTCAGAGTTGCAAACAGTCATTATTTTCATGAAAGCTACAGACCATTGACAATTGTGACCTGGAAACAAGATATGCTAGCAATATTTCCCAGCTAAAAAAGCTATGCTTCAAAGAGTGAGTATTACTCTTCCCACCCTACCGACACTTTCATTTTAGAGCAGGCGGACAGAGAAAGTCAGAGGCAGTGACTACAGGAAGCAGAAAGCACCGAAAGAGAAATGAGTGTGTGAGAAAAACTCCATCAATTTCACACGTTTCCCCACAGAGGGCTACCTAAAAAAAAAAAAAAGGTTCTAAAGTTGCCCTATTGTTCTACGGAGGAGTCTCTAGAATGGTGTCGGAGGGAGGCTGGAGGTAGTAGTGAAGGCAAAGGCAGACGCAGCTTGGAAAGATACAGAAGCCAAACCAATTCAAGAACTTTGGTGAAGTATGATGACTATAAGCTTGGATCCCTAGAAAGTTGCCCAGGAAGGGAAGGGTTGGAGTTTGGAACATGAAGAAGATAAACAGGTAAGAGGGATATAAGCTGGAAAGGGGGTGGGGCGGAGAGAGTAATGTGGGAACAGAGTCTAATTCATTTCTGGGATCCATTGTAGAAGAGGGCTTTGGAACGTTCAGAAGGATTTCAGGTAACAGGGACTCTCACAGAATTAACACAAGAGGATACCAGGGCACACAGTGTCAGAAT